ACCGGGCCTCGCAACCTCCCGTCGTTCAGAGCCACGGCGGTGCAAGACGGTCTCGGACGGGGAAACGGAATTATAAAAGAAAGCTGGATTTTAGACGTGGCGCATCCTTGTCTCACAATACATCCTGGCCCTTGTTTGTTTGTTTTAGAATCTTTGTTTTAAGACACAACAGACGGCTGTGCGAGAGTAAACTTGGGAAAAGAAAAAAAAACGTGCTTCGGCAGGGGCAGGGAGAACTCGGGCGTGCGAGGAGGGAACCCTATTGCGTTTGCAGGGCAGAACCTTACCTGGGTAGTCCTTGATGAAGCCCTTGTACAGGTCAGCCAGCTGGTCCGGGGTGATGTACCTGCTGGGGTTGTCTGGGGACTTGAAGTCCAGGTCGTACTTCCCGTCTCTGTAGAACTCGGAGGCGGCGACGTCCATCCCGATGACGATCTTGTCCGTGTAGCCGGCCTTGCCGATGGCATTCTTCAGGAGCTCCAGGGCTGAGGAACAAAAGCCGCGGTCAATGCCGCAGACAAACTTTCACACAGGAAGTGCCCCGGGTGACACAGGACCACGTGCCTCCGAGATGGGTGGACAAAGATGCGAGTAACGACATGCTGGGGTGAGGTGCCTGAAAAACACCCTCCATTTGAAAAAAACAAGTGCAGTTCTTGTATGAGAGGACCGTAACACAGCTTACAGCATGAAAAAACTAACAATGTGCCTGAACAACGGCCCCTGGGTCTTTCTGGGCGACTGCTCTGCAGCACCTCCCTCCAGATCAGTCACCTGCAGCTGCAAATCCAGACATCACTGGATCCTAATCTGGTAAAACCTACTTCAGGCTGAGTAACTACTTTAAACATTGGATCCACTGCCGCAAACAGCAGCCTCAATGGGCTGAAGAGGTGTGGATGATTCATTCTGCTGCTGTCCGGCAATTACAACACTGCACAGGCTGATCTTGGAAACTACAGGGCTGAGCTGCACATCAAGCTGGTTCTGGGAGGACTGGAGCTCCGCACGGCCTGGGAGCAGCTCTTCAAGAAGGGACGAGCAGCTGCCCCACCCCTCAGCGAGAGTATCCGTCCCGCCCTATTTCAGCGTTTCTGAACGGGGAAACGGCGTCGGCTGAAGTGAAAACCGGAGGTCATCGTGAACATACAGAACTCAACACCTCGAACGCCGGCTGCAAACAGCGAGGCGTTTCCGATGGGAGCTGTGGCTCCTGGGCGCCGGCAGCAGTCAGATGGCCGGGCCCCTAACTCCTGTCTGCCGCCCCGCAGAGCTCAATCTCTGGGCCCCCAGCCCCCCGGGGCAGCAGCTGCTCTTCTTGCTTGTTCAGCACCCCACCCCCACCCCTCCCCCTGAGCAGGGCGGGTCACAGTTGGCTAATTTAGGGGCACCCCCCCTGCTCAGCTGACGGTATCAAGTTGAGGGCCTTAATTTGGAAACCATCTGCCTCCCTGGATCTGCCTGCTTGCTCTCGGGCTGCTGACCTTCCTGCTAGCGAAGACCCCTGGCCACTGAACCAGGAGGCTTACTGGGGGGCGGGGTGACCCGAGCCGGACACGCAGTCAATGGACACGAGTTTTAGATCCTCTTCAGAGCCAGGGACGAAACAAAGCAAAGGGGGGGGGTGCGATTAATAAAAAATGAAAAAAGAACCAGGCGGCCTCTTCTCCCAAGGCTTTATCCCCCAGCGCCCCACACCGCACAGGAAGTAAAACCTCCGACCTCCTCCACTTCGCCCCGGCGCCTTCACTGACCCCGGCCGTCCCCACGCCTGATCCCCGGCCAGGGCAGCCGGGAGAGAGGTTCCTTCCCTCACCTTCCTTGTTCTCCAGGATGTTGGGGGCGAAGCCGCCCTCGTCGCCCACGTTGGTGGCGTCCTTGCCGTACTTCTCCTTGATGACGTTCTTCAGGTTGTGGTAGACCTCGGCCCCGATGCGCATGGCCTCCTTGAAGCTCTTCGCCCCCACGGGCAGGATCATGAACTCCTGCATCGCCAGCTTGTTGCCTGCGTGGGAGCCACCGTTGATGACGTTAAAGGCCTGCGGAAAACCCGGAAGAAAGAAATGGCGATTGGCGATTGGCGATTGGCGATTGGCGATTGGCGATTGGCGATTGGCGATTGGCGATTGGCGATTGGCGATTGGCGATTGGCGATTGGC